AGATGATAGAAATCATAACAGCCACGACGGCTATCGAGTTCATTAATGCATCTCTTCCTCTTCTTGCATTATGTAACATAAAAGACCAAGACAAGTTTGTGAATGCAGTTCTCGAAAAGTTCGACTCAATGAAGCCTGGAGATGAAATATCCGCTCATGACTACGGTGTTCGGCTGTATTCAATGTTGAGAGGTAGCAAGCCACCTGCTACTGAGTTCCTTTCAAGGTCTGCGTCGTCTCGCCCCACAGCATGACCGTAGAAAGGTCTGTGTCGACATATAACATGCTCTTCTCTGATCTAAGAACATCAACCTCCGATACAACATTAATTGATCGACTATTAATTCACTGGAATGGTGTTGCCACTGCACTTTACGATCCACGGCCGGCTGTTCAGAATTTCATGCTTAGGAAGGACCGAAGAATGAAATTGCCAGTTACCAGCACGTATACTGAAAGAGACTTTATTAAGAAGTTTTTTGAATAGCCTATGAAGTTTAATTTTAACCAAATAAGATAAAATGTTCAATCCATTCATATTGTCATTCTAAGACGTAAAGAACTATTAAATTGATGAGGTTACACATCATATACAATCTCTTAGCCTTAGGCTTAATCCTAATTTACTATCATTGTATAGGTTGAAAGAGTTCATATTTTGTAAAGATTAAGATTTAAGCATGTTTTGCTAAATATTGTCAGCTCCTCGCTGTTAACAATATATTACACAAAAAACAGTGCGTTGATGAGGGAAAAATGTAACTAATGATAACTGATCGTATCATTTTAAAAATATTTTTCATTCAATAACAAACACAGAAACTGTCCCACTATTACTGGTCCCTTCGGTCGTAACCGAAAGGTCCCTTCTGTACAAAGGCCCCCCCCACGAGCAATTTCTTAAAAAAGGCCCTGGTTTGAAATGCTATTATTATTTATTTAAACAATCTGCACTTCAGTTCACAAACCTTCTATAGATTAAAATTAAGCAACTCCAGCCAGTTTTTGACCCATAATGCTGTAATGCATATAGGCACAAGGTTGCTTAGCTGTACGACTGTTGAAAAAATATCAACAATTTACAGCTATTAGTAATGTTCATTAATTTTATGTACAACATAATATAATAGGAAAGTGTATATATTAGACGGCCGGCCAAGCTTGCAAAAAACGCTTCAAAAAAATTCCGATGCCAATTTCATGTTAGAAGCTGGTAACAAGCATGACTGAATAGCTTAGACTTTAGTGAACACGAATCTGCTTGTTACCAAGCTTGTTTTTTAGTTTAAACGGAAAAATATTGAGGTTTTTCTACCCCATCTACGAACAGCGAAGCAGGTTTTTCACACATCTAATTTAGATATGCGAGAAGGAAGCATGGTTGCTGTAAAATATATGAGCCAATCAGAGAGCAACCGAATCATATCCTCTTTGACAATCAACAAGGAAGGACTTTATATATTGCGGTGAAGAGATTTAATCAAGTGTAAACAGAGTTATTCAAGCATAAACGGACAAGAAAATTAAATTGGAATAAAGAAAGGCCAAGGGAAACCAAGTATGTGTAATTTTTTATTTAAATATTAAAAAAAATAAACAAAAAAAGTCATTTTATCAGCCTTTCTTCGCACTGTTGTTTTTGCCTTTAACACCAGTAATTTCTACTTTAGTTACTTACGTTAGTTGTTTAGTTTAAAGCTTTAAAGCTAGTTTGGGTATAGTTTTATTTACTTTTTGAGATTTTTATGAGCATTGATTCGCACTGCTGTACTTGTATTTTACTTATTTTTACGAGTATTTCTAGATTAGTTTGTTTATACTTACGTTAGTTTTTTAAGCTTTAAAACTGGTTTGGTATAATTTTATTTGATATTAAATCCAAGTCATTGACAACATGAATTCTTCATCGTCAAAACGAGAGGGCGACTTGCTTCCAGTAGCTACTTGAAAAACAAAATGCCAGCCAGGATACTTCTACATTTTGTCTATTCTGTAATTATATGAAATGATTTTGCATGTTTGTGATGCGGTTTCTAAGCGTTTTAACAGGGTTTAGTTAGTATGCTGTATTGCGATACAGATATTTTGTTGCTTTTAGTTTTAATATGGAAAACAACGAAAACGCTATTCTGTTCATGAAATTACTGAATTCCTGTCAGCCCATTATTGATAATATTTTAGGATTTCACGCTATATCAAGGTGTGATACGACCTCATCTTTTACTAAAAAATTGTAAAGCGAAAAGTTTACTAAAAAATTGTAAAAAAAATTTGTAAAAAAATTTTGTAAAAAAAATTGTAAAGTGGTTTGGAAAGCAAAAATGTTGGAAAGTTTTTGAGCAATCCATATTTAATTCAAAATCTTGGCAGAGGCAGTTCGCAAAACGACACTGAAGAATTTGTTTGTCGGTTGTATCGAGTACCAAGTATAGAAGCTGGAGTAAATAAATGTAGAACAACAAATCCGTCTATACCGTCTTCATGTAAAATTTGATGTCTTAATTGTGGTTGCACTAAAAAATGCCATACAGGTGCTTGTAAACGGTATAAAACTAGTCAGTGTTGCACTCCTGGGATGTGAGAAACCTTACAGCTAGGAGTATGTATAAACGTGTAATAATATTAGAAGCAGAAATATAAGTTAAAAATCACACTTATTGGCTTTAAATCTCTGTATTTTGTCAATAATTATATTTATGTGTTTGCTTACACTTCAGTCTGTGCTTCAGCCGTATCGCACATGCAATTTCCAGTGTTCTTAACCAATGGGTGGGCGAGACTAATTTAGTCACAGCCAATGAGAATGGTCTATTTGTTGCATGGCAACAGGGAAAAAGAACTTTGTAGATTTCGGTAAATTTCAACATCATAACAAAGCGGGTTTACCTGTGGTCAAAACTTCTTCTATTTTAGCACTTAAACTGCGAATTAAGCCTGATAACACCCCAAACCATTATAAGTATGCATATTCCAATATGTTTAGCGATGTTACTTGCTTTAACAAAGAATTGCCATCGAACTTCATTTTTTGCAAGCTTGGCCGGCCGTCTATATTTATTTAATCTTAAAAATAGTGTATGTTTGCTACTCAAGAGTTTCATGCAATTATTCAGGCAATTGCATGAAACTCTGAATAGCAACATACACTATTTTAAAGTTTTATTTAATAAATCAGTATTGAAAAATGAAAATTAAAGCCCAGCAAATGACTTTCAGACAAGACATCACAAAATATAAAATTTATTGGCTAACGTTTTGTTGTATTGTATAAATTGTTTCGTTGTATTGTATTATTATTTGTATAAGTGTCAATGCTGTAGTGCATTGTATGTTGGTCAAACTCGCCGACACATACACACGCGTATCTCTGAACACATGGGTGTTTCACGTTTGACTGGAAAGAAACGTTCTGTTTCAACCATGTCAGGCATACTCGCTCATTTACATACCACTAAACATCAAATTTCACCCTCTGATTTTAAAATCCTTTCCACTGCTAGTTCTGAAGCAGATCGCGAAAGCCTTTTCATATCCAAGCTTAATCCTACTTTAAATGCTAACATTAGGTCAACTCCTCTTGACCTTTTCTAATGCTTTGCTAGGTCTCTAATTACTAACCATTATTTCTTTAATTTACTAATACTATTGCTTTTAATGACAGGTTGTTTTTCATTCTTCCTCTTATTTGCTTATTTGAATGCTGTAACCATTTTAAACTATTTGTATATATATAATACACGCTTGTAAATAAGTTTAATTGCTCTGAAGATGTTGTGAACAATACAACGAAACGTTAGCCAATAAATTTTATATTTTGTTATGTCTTGTCTGAAAGTCATTTGCTGGGCTTTAATTTTCATTTTTAAATTACGCTTTCCACCCGGTGTATCAATCGCTACTGTTTTAAATCAGTATTGCTCTACAAATTTTTGTGTTGAGCACTCTTCAATCTACTGCAATAACAAAACATTTGTTATATATACAAATATGTTATTACACCAATCAGATTTGACACTTGTATACTTCCAAACTATTTCTATTTTCATTTTAAGAACTGTTCAAATTCAATTATCATTTCCCAACGATATACAAGTTACTATGAAATTACTTCTGTGTAATCTTTTCATGTTGCTGAAAAGTAATGGTTAATAGTTATTGGATTAGGTGTGGATAATATTGACCAAACTCTGGATAATTTGTGGATATCATGCAAAAACCGACTTCAATAATTGTTTTATTGTACAATTATACAAGCCTTTACTCACTGTACTGAAACAAAATCTATTAGTTATTATTGCAAAGCTTTCAATCTGATATATTATGAGCACTGACGAGTGGAGATCCTGCCGTACAGAGCAAAGCTCTGCAATGATAAATTTATGTGATGTTTTCCAAAAACCAAAACTAATATTATCCACTGTAGAATATTATATATTCATGTTGTTAAGTAATTTGATATGCATGCTTGCTGTAAGTAGGTGAGGTATCTCTTTTGTAATAGCTTAGCTTATATAAGCATGTTTATGTACTTTATCAAATATATTTTTATATAACTTGAAACAACATGGTGAGAGGTGTGGGACCGAAAAAAAAATATTAAGAAATTAAGATCATGGCTGAGTCTGGTCCGCTGATATTCAACGGGAATGTAGCCGAAAGTTGGAGACGTTTTGTGCAAAAATATGAAGTGTTTATAGCTGCTGCATGTAGCACAAAAGCAAAGAAAACTCCAGCATATATTTTGCTAAACTTGGCCGGAGGAGAAGCAATTGAACGAGAAAAGTCATTTACTTATGAAGGCGAAAGTAAAGAAGATCTAGAGTGTTTGAAATGAAAATTTGGAGAATTGTGTAACCCACAAGCGAATGTTACAATGGAATGGCACAAATTCAACAGCCTGGTGCAACAGCATGGAGAATCAATTCAGTTGTATGTCTCAGATTTAAAGAACAAAGCTAGCACTTGCGAGTTTGAAGACTTGAAAGACGAAATGATCAAAGATCGATTGGTCTGTGGAATTGAAACTGACAAACTTAGATGAAGCTTATTACGAGAAGACAAGTTAACCTTGCAGAAAGCGATCGAACTGTGTCAGATAAGCGAACTTCCTGAACAGAGAAAGAAAAAGCTGACTGGTACACCAGAAGTGCATGAAGTAAAATATACACGGCAAAGAGACCCAAGCAATTGCCATCGACAACAGCAACAACAACAACAACGGCCGCAAGCATCTGGCTCCAGAAATGAGAGCAGCAAGTTCCGACAGTCGGCAAAATGGAAACGAGAGGAGCAGTGACAGAAACCATGTCCTTATTGTGGAAACGTACATAACCAGCGAAGCTGGTCCAGCATATGGAAAGAAATGTCACGTGTGTGGTAAATTAAATCAACCAGTAAACACAATAACCGAAGAGAAACAAGGCATTCAACCATTTCTCATTGAAATGTTAGGTGCATACAATATACAAGCAGTTAGTCATGAGGCATTATATGTCACAGTAGAAGTGCATAGCAAGCCACTTAACTCAATTCGATCTGCCAATATTAATTTCCGACGTATATGACGGGAAGATTAAATATTAAAGAACTTCGCGAGTATTTGCAGTAGACATACGAAAATACCACCAAAAAATTCCGCTTGATCGATACTATATATTCAGAAATATTCATATAATTTTATTGTTTCTTGCTCAATTTCAAGCGAATTTCTTACCTTGAAATGATCAATGCGGTGAAATTTATGCAAATGACACATTATCAATTTTGCTGTTGCATTTTGAATGTTCCGCTTGATTCAAATGCTCGTCTTTTTGCTTCTTTTCAACATATAATAATAACAAATATACCAAAAGAATCGCCATCTTCCATTCTATAGCTCGGAGCAGTCTCGGGAAATTGCGAAATAATCTAAGCCTATTATGGCAATTCTTGTGATCGGAAAGTGTTCGGCCAACTTCGGACGCCAAATTCTTGGTAAGCATTACAGTTTCCTGGTAAAAGACTGCAGGAATCACTTCCGGAGTGTTTGTTTACCCTAGATACGGATTTTGATTGGCTTAGGCAGAAAAACAAATCTTTTAGAGCAATTTTCCTGATTAGCGCGCACGGGAACGCACGAGCGTTGAAATGTATTGTGTTGTAGTTTTGTTTGAATCGCATTCTGAAGACGTTTTTGGCTTCATTTTGCAAACTGATAGTGCTAGTAATGATGGAATGTCTTCGTATGAAGACAAGTATCTCAACCTGGCATTGGGAGTCGTGTCTGGAGTTTCAAGGCAAGTATTTGTATCATTTCTAGACAATTTCTATTTCAATGTTTTGCCGTTGCCATGGCGTTGTAAATTTATTTGTATTTGGTATAGCTTCACTGGTACGACCAAGTATGTCCTCATATCGCTTTTTTTGTTTTGAAATAATCGTTTCATACTAAAATTGACAAATATAAATGGTATTTATTTATATTGTTGATGAAAATTTATGGTGTTTTAGGCATAAAAATCTCTGATTCCTAGGCGAAATAAAATGAGCCTTGAGCACATGTTTGGTTGTTTGTTACGTACATAATAGCCAAGTATTCATACTTAAATCTTACTTGTTTGGCTCTTATTATAATTTTAAGTGGCACCATGTCTATAAAAAAGTTTTTATTTGCACTGATGAATATATTGATCCTGTTCCTATCTGCTGTTCCTGTTTCATAGCCTCAGGGAAGTAGAGTTCTGATGAGTCATGAGAACCCCACTCCCCAACCAAGAGGGAAGGTAGGGGGATGAGTAGAGGGAAGCCCAGCCATTAGGACCTAAGGTTTCGAAAGCTCCCTGTCTATAGCATCCCCACTAGGCCCCATAGTACATGATGGATATGATGATCATGATCCTGACGCTAGGAATATTCTCCCAGATTTTGCTCCCCACTGACATGTCCGGGATCCATTTCGATCAACTGTGAGCTTGAGTTCATTCGACTCTTTTTTACTAAGGGAATGCATTCTTCAGGAGGTAGTTTCCTGGCCATACCAATACATATGCCCACATACAAATAACTAAAAAGTTATCCCATATACTAATAAAAAAGGGTCTTGCAGGCCACCAACCTTGAGAGGTTGATTGCCTTTTAGTATATGCAGGTTTGCTAAAGGTCGACAGTGAGATTGAAAATTATTGGAGTGTAAAAACCTTATATCATGGTCTGTGGGCAATAGAAATAATTTCTCGGGTTAGGTACAAAGCGCTTATGGCGTTTGTGAATATGGTGAATCCCGTACTAAAGATTACAGCAATAAACTGCATCAACAACTGTACCAGCCGTCACAGAATATTGTTGTTGCAGACAAACACACTGTCAAATCAAGAAATAGGTTGGGGATTAGGCAGTTCATGAAAGCTAGATGACCTACTATGTGGGGGATAAATCTGTGGTTTGCTGCAGACAATCCTAATGGTTATATTGCGACTTTGAAATTTATACAGGAAGAAGTCCAGATATTCATCGCAACGGATTTGGGTATGACGTGGTGATCTGATATCAGTTTGGTTACAGTCTTAGGTCTTTTGTAGTACAATATAAAGGAAATATTTTCACCACATAATCCAATTATGTGCTTTGGCAGACATTACTGCTTTAGCAAACATTACTGCCTTGGAAAACATTACTTCTTTATAACTACTAATTATGATGATGCCAGCCCAACAACACTTTGTCATGCTATTTGCAAATATTTTCATGTTCTAGATTTTGAAAACAGTCAATTTCTAAACAAGTGAGTAGTGATTACTTCAAATTTGAATAGCATGACCACATTTTGAGGCTGGTTATGCCACTAATAACTAAAGTCAATGGTGTAATGATTATCTAAGAATGTATGTAGTAACTGTAGAAATAAAGACATTTTGCTAATCATGATTTGAGTGGGTTTTTTGTGGGTATCACAGACTTATTTTGGTGCCATACTATCTTTGGAGAGTAAGAATATTGGAAATTTGTATTGATAACATGTTGCAGCAATAAAAAAGGACCTTTGATAAAGGTATTTGTTTCATGTGAGCACAAAATGTAAATTTTACTCCACTACCTAGTTTAAATAAAAATTCAATAAAAACATTTCTATTTATGCTACATGCAAGGAACTTCGGGCACTTGTAGATCATAACCGTGTCTTTCAGTCATATTCATAAAATTTTTTGACATATTTGAAATTTGAACCGCTAAATACATTTATGCATAATTTCAACATTTTTTTATATCATAATTTATGCAAATTTATGCGAGTAAATCGTTAACCAAGCTCGGGATGAAACTGAAATTGGTATCGTTCGAAAGCAGAAGTCCTCCTCTTTCAAACGATGCAATGTCAGTTTCCATACGATGTATAGTTTGAGAGATATAAGCGTTTGAAACAACACCACTCGAAATTGCTACTTTTCGACCGGATGGGACTTGCTAGATGTACTGCCATTTCAATTGGCACAATATCGTTTATCCATTCCCATAGTTCCTCTCTCTAATCGACTGGCTTGTGTCATTACAATGTAATGCATACATTACAGGATTTAAGCAATTGCTACGCCAAATATCACAACAGTTTCAATAAGTTTCTGGTTTGTTCACACGTTTTCCTTTGATTTTGAAAGATCCACATAGTAATCTTAAAACATCATTAATTTGATTTTAGATAATCTGAATTTGTTTTAGCTAATAACCTGCATAAATCTTTAGTTGACCATGCACATATTTTTCCTTGCCAAAGATTGTTGCAGTGTACTCGAGTATGTGTTTTTGACAGTGTTCTTCCAAACAGATTTGCTTGGAAATAGTTCAGAAAAGTATACACTCTGGTAGAAAGTCCAGAAGATCACATTTCAAAAGAATTCGTACAATATTTCGTACAACAAAACTTCGTACAACAAAACTTCTCACTGAGAATTTGTCACATAAAGCGGGTTGACCGTACAAACGAGAAAGTAAACTTGCCAAGGGAACTTAACAAAAAAACAAAATTGCTCGTCTGTTGTCATCTTTGGTCTAACTAACACGACCAAAAAATTTAACAAGAAAAATTTCTTTCATTCATAACATTATACTCTTCAAATTTTTTATTACCTTCATCAACGCTAGAAACGAGGACTTTTCCAAAGTGACACCACAAATCAGCCATCAATTGTCCCTCATCCCTCAACTTTTGCAAATTTTGTAATGGCGTCAATAGATGGTCTTTAATTTCCGAGACAATTTTCTCACTGATCATCATCTCACTCTGAAATAGACACGAGGTTAACTCGCTATTCTGTGGCCACATTCATTAAAGACAGAGCTGCATGTATGGAGGATGATTAGTACCATGTACGTGAAGGCAAACATATTCGTAGTTGGGAACAGGCCTTAATTTTCATTATCTAATATATATCTATCTATATATATATATATATATATATATATATATATATATATATATATATATATATATATATATATATATATATATATATATAATATATATATATATATATATATATATATATATATATATATATATATATATATATAATATATATATAACATATATATAT